TGAAATAAATTATTAGTTAAATTTTATGAGCAAAACCGTCTAAAGAATTGTAATTAAATTCATTGTATAAAAAATGGTATTCCGTTGTTTTGATCAATTTTCTTCCAAACGATTAAGACTAATTTTTTTTAAAAAGAAAAAACTAATGAATTTTTGATCTCGCTGAATTTGGTTTACATTAAAATAAGTATGTCGTAATTAATATAACGGCAATAATACATGTAGTTTGAAATAAAAATATGATCGGTTCTTTTGTCTTTGACTGTACTAGACGCTACTCGACGAAAATATGGAGAGTGGGGATCGCATAGCGTAGAGTAGGGTAGCGTTGCGTGGCATCGGGCAGATGTGCACTGGGGTAATACAATCTTATGGAAAATTGGACTTTGGATTTACGTCAGGTAGCGTTGCATTGGGTGTGTTCCAGGCTTAAAAGTTCTACTGACACATGAATGATTGTGTGTCATAAATTAAACGGAAAGATACGATTTATCAATCACTTAAAAAAAGGAGAACCTACAGTGACATCATCGATTTTAATTAATTTTTTGGTGATATTAGGTCAAAACTAAACATTTATATGATTCTTTCGTGCCTGTTTTATTTCAGATTATTTTAGGATAGGATCATGTTAGATGAGATTAGAATTATGTAAAAAGACACGCTGTGATTATTATTTTTAAAAAAACTAGATTTTACTGCAAATTGTAAAAATGCCTGTAGGTAATTAAAAATATTGACTGTTCGCAGTCTCTGCAGTGATTACAGTTTGTATACAATAATCTCGACAACTTAAATTAAGGATTGCCATGGTTACTGTCTGTGCCCAGTGATTGATTAGAAGTTAGATTTTGAATGTGACAGTTGTTGATTGCAAAAAATGCACAAAAAAAGAAGAGTAAGCTTTGTTAGATTTTTATGAAATAGGCGAGCTTTTAGAGAGGAGCGTTTGGCTAAGGCTTTCCTACATCCTTTGTCGACTTAGGTAATAAGCGTTGTTTTGTGTAGATTACTTGTTTTATCGCCCCAATGAAGGAAGAAAAGCATTCCTGACGAATAAACATACGGCATATACATATACATACTCCAATTTAGCACTATAAATATATAATACTCAAAATCAATTAAAATTTTATTTCAATCAATTAATCTTTTTTTGTAAGGTTTTGGTTATGAAAAAGCTGGTGTCACGAGCCTATGAACAGATTTCAATTACACAAGGTGTCCTGGGTTCGAATCCTGACATAGACCATGGTTTTTTTAAATTGATAATAACATGAACAATTTATTTCAAAGTGGTTATCCCACTCGCCTACGACCCCTAACCCTTAAGCCTACTTTAACCTTTGAATAATTGTAATGGTTAATTAGATTTCCTACTAGCCGTGTGGTTAGGGTGTCCTGGGTTCGAATCCTGACATAGCGCATGGCTTTTTAATTAATAATAACATGAATAATTTATTATAAAGTGGTTATACCACTCGCCTACGACCCCTAACCCTTACGCCTACTTTAACGTTTGAATAATTGTAATGGTTAATTACATTTCCTACAGTTTGAAAGTTGAAATTTTCATTGTGTTTTATTAGTTTTTACACAGACAATGTTTGTTTACAACTGTGCTTAGGCTCATATTTAACAGCAACTTAACGGTAATCTAAACCTCGAGAATGCAATTTAACTATCTCTTTTTTTAGTCAGGGCACTGCGATGTCCTTTATCTACCCAATCCACGCTGGCGTCTCACAAGGGAACATACTTGGGCCTCTCCTTTACACGATATATACTGTTGACAATCGTGCTGACATGCTATCCTTCCAGAAGGAATTCTCTTCATTTTTGCTACCATACTGCAGTCCTTTCCCCGTATAAAGATCCAGTCACCGAGTATAAAAACCTTCAAAACCATTTGTAGTGCCTCGACGTCCAAAAAGTGCAGAATTAAAATAAATGCAACGAAGAGCCAATACATTAACTTCTAATCAGACATCTCCGTCGAACACGTACGTAACTTGGGAGATCATCTGAACAAACGACTTACTTAGAATCTGTACACAAGACCGAAACGAAACGAACTAAACAGGCGTTACAAACTGGTAGCACCACTGCTCGACATACGATCCAAACTTGTATTTAATCACAAAAGATTAATATACATCATGGTTCTCAAACGTATGTGGACTTATAGTGTCAAACTGAGCGTCAACCAAACATTCCAACTACCGACGAATTCAAAGATTCCAGTCAAAAGTCCTAAGAAAAATAATTAGCCATTAAATCTCCAATAATTAGCATCAAATCTCACCCTACACCACTACTATCCCAGGTAATCCTCCTCGTCGACTGACACACAGATGGCCAGATGGCCTCTTGATGCCCTACGTAGTGCCAGAAAATTGAAAAGTGGTCATTATTTCTTCTAAAGGAGGCTCACCACTGGGTGATTTCTCCTCACAGGTTTTTCATTGTTATTATGCCATTATTATTATTACTATGTCAACAAATGATCATGTTCAGTTATTCTTTCTAAAATTTTCTACAGCCGTTTAAAGAAAAACGTTTTCAATCTATTGGATTTCCTTTTTTTTATAGGACAATTATCAAATGGAGAAAAACGTGATTGGGACTGTTTAAATTTCCGTTTCGGATAATTTAAATTGGCCCTGTAATTGTTTTGTTATGGGGTTTGTCGTGAGTTCTGTTTGCCATTCGTGTCGACAGACATCACCTAATAACGGCCTAAAAGCGAAACGCGCCTGACCAAGGGCAAACATGGAATGGACGCAATCAGATACGATCAGTAATGATGAAATCCCTCGCAGATTATTTTTTGCTCAATTTACAATTTGTCCTGTAAACACGGATTCCATATGGTGCACTTCGCTTTTATTCGGAGTGAAATTGTCATAGGTTTGGCCTAATCATTTTTACACATTCCCACACTCGGGACGAATCGATTGGAAAGATGATCATTTGACATTTCCTTCGTTTCCGCTTGTGTGAACCCATTAAGAAAATCTCTTAAGCCGTGAAATGGGCCTTTTTTCAAGACTTAGGTCAAACATGCTTGTTAACATCCTTACCATCTATAAATATTTAGCGTTACCGTCGATATATCATCATAACGGGGCATAAACGATCGACTTTCTCCTACTAAAAATTAATGAATACCTATTTTCAGAAACACGGTAGCCCAGTGATAGATTCTCGCTCGTAGACCCTCTGTCGTGAGTTCAATTCCCACCTTCGCCCCCGGCCTTTTTACACGCTACCCTTCTCCCCATAAAATAAATATATAAATATGATTTACACGCAACAACTGTTCTGGCTAATATGTAAGACCATAAGGCAAAAAATGAGAAATGTAGTTCATTAAATACTAGGCGTATTACCCGGCCTTGACCTGGACGATAATAAAATTGTATTCATTATGTTTAGTGGTCTGATTGACAAAATTACTGTTCTTCGATTTTCTCATGTAAAAATGTGTAGTGTTTAGATTTCAGTTACACATGGACAACAAGCAAAGGGGATTCTGAAAGAGGTCGCTACCACTGAAAAGAAACTAGTACCTACAATCAATCACAGAACGTTTTTTATAAATATAGGCTGAACAAGACCCTGAAGATGATCTAAATAAAGATCGAAACGTTTGTATAATAAAGAAAATGTTTTTCTAAACCTACATCACACAAGACAGCATATCACGATCTCCAAATAATCATTATAATTTGATTTTTTCTTGAAGATTATTCTTTGATCCAGAGAGTTCGTGAGTGAAAAAGTACTTCTAATATTGAAAATTGAAAAAAAGAAACTATCTTGTGAGAAGCAATATCACCTCAAATTTTCAAGACCGGTTCCGTAAATGCTAAAAGTGCTTCTCTTTAAGTGTAGTGAATTAAATTAAACCAGACGGCAGAGGTTAACTGCGCAAACTGTACAACTTCATAAACTGCGCTGTTTATTGTAGGAAAAGATGGGTCTAAATGCGCAGACTTGATAAACTTCGCAGTTGTCAGTTTATCGCTCAGATCGTTACACGCGATAAACTGCACAGATAAAAGGAGGGTGGGTAGCCCCTTAAGTTACACGATCCGATGGCCAGATGCGCTTCAGTCTTCTATGTGGGTTGGGAGGAAGGTTTGAGATGGACAGATTGCGAATTAATGAGTTGCCATAAAAGGATAGTTTGGAATGAAATTTATTGTAGGGGGAGTGGGCCGGGTATGCGTTAAGGTATACTGAGATTACTGTATATGGTATGATTTATGTGGAAGGTAGATCAAAAATTGTATGAAGGATTTTGGTTTGTAGGCATTGGATTTTGTTAAGATTGGAACGCTTGGGTATTCAAATCCATAGGTCTAAATGTTTTTTTTTGTGTGTGCGTGTGTGTGTCTGTATCTTTTTTTGTAACTAATGTCAGGTTAGATTGTCTGTAAAGTAGACTCTTCAGGTTTTCATGTCCTTTGGTCCAAATTGAGGTGATTCGGGTTGCGTACAACAGTTTTTATGTTAACCATTAACATTAATTTTTATTTCCACTAGTTTCGTGATCCGCCGCTACTCTACCACTTGAGCTCCTCGTGCCATTGACTTTTTTATCTCAACTAAAAACCTTAATGAATTGTAATATATTAATTGGTCAAGCGGACCACGAAATTAGTGAACTTAATGAAATAAAATGAAGTATACTTCACTAAAGCTCTCCGTGGCAATTTCATTTATCGTCCAAAATCCAATCCGATTACACGACATTTGAAAAATGGCAAAAAGGCGGGAAAATTCAAAAGATGGGGTTGAGATGGGAAGTTAGTGTCCGAGTGGATCGAGGTCACGATAGCTCAGGTGGTAGAGCCGCGGCGATCTAGCCGAAGATCGTGGGTTCGAATCCCGCTCGTGCCATTGACTTTTTTATCTTAACTAAAAACCTTAATTAATTGTAATTGATTTATAGAATGAAACAGAAATTAAAGCAATAAAATTGTAATAGGTACCTGTGTTGCAGCCTACTAAATGAATAGTGGGGTCGTGGCCATACCCCGACAAGGCCCTGAAACAATTAAAATAACGTATTAAGAACAGAAAAATAATAATTAAAAAAAATTATTGCCCCAAAATATAACGTACATGGGTAAGACAGCTAAAACACATCGTTTATTGCCTACAACCTACTACTAAGGATTAAAAATCCATCAACTCATCATTCTGAAATAAAAAAATCCTTCAAGCGACGCTTAACGGAAGGCATGTTATCACAATTTTAGGCGAGAGGGCGGCATAAATTATGGCACATTTATAAACCACATATTGTTGCTTGCTTTTTATCTTTTATTTATTTTTCGTTCTAATTTCTTACCCGTGTAAGTTCCTGACCACAGTATGTTTTTGCTTAATGTACAAGGCCCTGTCAGGATTCGTAATATTTTCGAATGCTCTCCCCATGAGTCGCGATAGGTCAGCAGATAATAACAGGATAATTTAAAAAAAAAACTTAAAACATGCGACGTACAGCCAAAAAAAATCAGTCCTTAATTGAGACTTTCACTTGTCTATTGTGCAGCATTCATATACCAAAACAAAATCGGTCTAGTGAGGGTTGGAAAATACAGGTCAGGTATCTTTGTTAGGTCCTGTTAGATCGAGAGAAATGATGTAAGAATCGGCTAGTTAACATTGCTCGATCTAACAGGCCAGTGCCAATGTTAGATGTTAGGTCGAAAATGTAGTCACTTTGCTATCCGTTAGGGCGTAGGTAACAAACATGGCAGGCCATGAATTTAACAGCTGTTTTTTTTTTTTTTTTTACATTTTTATTCTTAAATACGCATTAATTAAATCAGACAAATACATTTCTTTTGTTAATTTCCCACCAGTCCTTATACGTTCATTCATAGGAGATACATCCCCTATCACATAAAGTTGTAGGCTATTGTACGTTAGGATATAGGTTAGGTATGTCGGCAAGAATTGAAGCGTGTCATTTGTTAGTACTTTTCAAGTGCATAGAATTTTGCATGAAAGAGTGGCTTAATTTTCTTTTTTATTAACTTATGGCATCTTACAATTTAACACAAAACCTTAACAAACAACAACAAGCCTTCAAGGACTGTAATAGCTTTATTTTTGGTTCTGCCACGTCCAGCATTGCGGAAAAATTAACGTTTAACATACTAAGAAAAGAAGGAGGCGTTCACGATTTTACTGGACATTTCTCTATTCGAGTTAACACGAGCTAGCATCTTACAAACATCCTGAATACTCCTAATACGTTCCTTCCATGCTAACTTTCTGTGCAGGATAACGCCCAACACTTTTTATCAGACAATAATGGAGACTCTCCCCATGTAACAAGACGCCAGACCACGACAAATCGACGGAATCGCTGAAACTGAAATCTTCTGTTTTCTTTATATTAAGAGCAAGACCATTGCCGAAACCAAATTTACGATTTTATTCATACTGTGCTTAACTTTCAGCCATATTTCTGAAGTGTTTCCCGTGACGATTAAGGAGGCCTCGTCCGCAAACAGATAAATATATACACCCTAAGGGTTCTCTATGAACTTATTAATATACTGAAGACGTTATCCGCGGAGAATAGGTAACAAGCATACAATCAGCAACACACATTAACGCTGATAATGGAAAAAACATCGATTTTCAGGCTTCGAATTTGCATACCAATCAGACACTGTAGCACGTCTGCTGCATACCGTCAATTTGAACTCATATATTTCAAGGTGTTTTTTAATAATAAAATTTTAATGTTCGGTAACATACATAAGTTTATTCCACGCAGGTAAACAATATGTACATACATCAACAAGTATGAACTTACAAAAGGTATCGAAACAAATGATAAAAAAATGTTAGGGCCTGAAAAAGATAAACAACCAGGGGAGGGGGTTACCGAGGATGAGTGAGAATGCGGTTAACAAGTCTACTGTATACTGAAAATAAGAGAGAGCCAAGTATGGAACCCTGTGGTACTCCGTACTTGATTGGGATGTTTGAGAAGTGATCTGAATTTTGTTTTCTTGTGGTGATCATGCAGATCATTAGCATCGTTAGAAATTCCAATATTTTCCATCGAAGGAAATACACGGTAATGGTCAACCGAGTCGAAAGCTTTGGAAAGATGAATGCCCGATACTTTGATTTTGATTTTAATTCTTGTACCTAAAGCATCTTCTTTAAAAAGTGATTTTCTAAACCTGAATTGATTTTCAGATATAAACAGAATTTTTTGGACAAATTCAGAAAGGCAATTCGTAGAGCACACTTTCGATTGCCTTGTCAAACACCGAAAGCAAAGCCCAAGGAAGATTAATTTAAAAAAAACATACTCAGAAGAGAGAGAACGCAGTAAAGCATCACTTTCAGATTTACTATCAAGATTACCACGATTAATCAAGAGATAACGATAAATATTCAGGGAAAAGAGTAGTACTTCCCGAACTACAAATTGTAAACAAAAACCTATTAACTCGTATAAATCCAATGCAAAATATGCATTTTCACTATTGACAAAAAAATCCTCGTTCCGTCAGGCGGCAGGAAGAAGCGCAAGATTCGCACATTGCCTGCACGGAACCAGCGATATAGTTAATTAAACGCTTTCACCAAACCTGCGATGGCCAAACTTTCATTTTTTCCCTGCTCTTCTGTCGGACCTCACGATATTCAAATAGCGACTGTGAAAAGGCGATTCTGATCTGGCGATAATCACAGGAACGAGGGCTGTGCTAAAATCACGCCCCTATAATAAAATGTGAATTTATTATCAGGGGAAGGGACGATGATGAACGGATTTCTTAAAGCAGCCATCGCAAATATCGAAAGCGAAGTACCACCCGGCCAGGTAAACGGTTAATGATTGCAAAAAGTAGCCCTGTTTGTTGAGTTCATAACTTAGCATTGGACGTCATGTTGAAATTACATGAAATCACACCATTTCTATTCGCTATTGTTTTTTCCTTAATAGCTACTACACAGACAAGTAAAGATATTTAACACAATTAGGTTTCCTTACCAAGAAGTAGTAAAATCTGTACTGTGTTCTGGGTAAGTCCGCAATTATAATATAAGTAATTAACTGAGATTTATTTCTGTTCCTTGTACGTCACTTAATTTCTGTCGCTCCACAGATGAAACGTGACAACTTAAATGTGAAACTACAGTTACTTGCGTAACGATTCAACTATGTATAACTCTATGTATATAATTGTTTTCTTGTTCATTTCTTTAGTCCCGCAGTAGTTCGTAAACAGTCAGATATTTTATCTCTTCGACTAGGTTTACACTAATTTACAATAGATCTGTAAGCCGTAAGTTTCAGCCTTCGTGCAGAGTTTAGGGGATCAATGTTGAAGAGGTGACGGGTCATCGAAGTCTTATGTCAGGTATGAAGTAAGCAAAAAGATTCCTCGCAAAAACGACCGATTAGTAGAAAGAGGAAATCCTACTCAACTGATATGAAATGAAAACTCAATAATATATTTAAAGTACAAGCTCCAGTTAAATGCCAATAAAAATATGTGACTGTCAACAGATGATCAATGTCGACCATGCCCAGTACAGAGTCAACAGAACATATCCCATTCTACTGACCTTATATATTACATTCACTAATTTCGTGGTCCGCTTGACCAATTAATACATTACAATTAATTAAGGTTTTTAATTCAGATGAAAAAAAGTTAATGGCACGAGAGGGATTCGAACCCACGACCTTCAGTTGCTCTACCACCTGAGCTATCGTGACCTCGATCCACTCGGATATCAACTCCCCATCTCAACCCCACCTTATGAGTTTTCCCTCCTTTTGCCATTTTTCATCTCAATTAAAAACCTTAATTAATTGTAATGTATTAATTGGTCAAGCGGACCACGAAATTAGTGAATTTAATGAATTAACTGAAGTACACTTCACTAAAGCTCTCCGTCGCCATTTCAATTGTCGTCGAGAATCCAAACCGATTACACGACATTTGAAAAATGGCAAAAGGAGGGAAAATTCATAAGGTGGGGTTGAGATGGGGAGTTGATGTCCGAGTGGATCGAGGTCACGATAGCTCAGGTGGTAGAGCAATGGCGTATCTAGCCGAAGGTCGTGGGTTCGAATCCCTCTCGTGCCATTAACTTTTTTCATCTCAATTAAAAACCTTAATTAATTGTAATTATATATTACGCAGGGTGGGCGATCAAGACCCGAGGGGTTAAATGCCTAGGTAGACTCGTGCCCAAACCCTAAAAGGTCCGGACTTGCTCGGCTCACGTGTCCTGCATAAACGTCTTTGCCCAGTAGAACGTATCATACTAGGACCGTGTCAGGCACGAAAAAAAAAACGGTCCGGTCACTACTATGCCCACTGCAACGGATGAACCGCGTTCTATACCCGTTTGTAACGCATATGTAAAAACATTTAGTAGCCGTGCTGCTTCAGTCGCTGTCGTACATTTCTTTTTTTAAAAACGCGTCGTTTGTGAACTTTTGTTTTCTCGTGTGGAGTGAATTTGTTAAATAAAGTATGGCTGTTAGAAAATTATCTATATGAGAATTGACCATGATTGCCATTATTTTGGACGAGGAAGAGGAAAAAACACTAGATGTAAATTGTTTAAAAACTCGTAATTACGAACATTTTCTATTAGTTGTTCATCCTCCATTTTTATTAAGACACCACTCACAATGCAATAGAACACAAACACAGATCTCTTCGTCAAATGCAAAGAACTTGTGCGGAACGGGACAGTAACACAGTAGGCCGGATGCGCATAACGGACCGACACCGGCAAAATATTCTCGGCAGCCGATTTTTGACTGAACGTGCACGGCACGGTACGGTGTTGGCCAGTGACGGAACGGTGTAGTGGGCATTTTCTAATACTAATGATGTAAAGAATATTTATTTGCATGTGTCGGTACGGGTACGGTCCTAGTATGATACGTTCTAGTGGGCAAAGACCTTTAATCTCTTAGACTTGTTCACAAACCCCAAGATTTTGGACCATTTTATCTCGGGGGGTGATTTGGTGATGTCCGCTCCT